GGCCCCCACACAATAACAACCCACGAGGCGGGAAACGAAACACATGTCTGGCACTACTTTCGAAGCGACCAATCGCGTTCTTTTGTTCGCTCGCGGCACCGACGCGCTCGCCATCTACTGGTCATCTTCGACACTTTCCTTCAGCGCGGCTAAATTCATTTCCTTCCGCCATTTCGCCTCGAGACTGTCTATTTTCCATCGATACGACAATCAAATATTATTGCGATTAAATATGGAAATTGCTTTGTTAATCATGCACTGCTATAAATTTTGTTATTAGACATTCCGGAAATTGTCCCAAACTTTTTTAATGACGAAACAGATTCGATAGTTTGCACCCGTTACCGCAATCATTTCGAAGCTTCCGGCGCTCGTGTTAGATTGTGACACTACTTGTGCTTGCTTTATTTTACGCGTGGATCTAGGAATATGGGGACTGGGAATATTCTTCGGAAGATACCGCGGGACGAGGCGATGAGGTAAACTGGTGCCCAGTTTCGATTGGCCATTGTTGGTACAACTACGTGCGATGTTAACTTCCGCTTCATTTCCCCTTGAGTGTTGGAATGTTTAGAGAAAAGAGCGGCACGTGATTTCTAGAACTCAGTGATGGGCGAATACCCGTATGGAGTACTGTTAATTTCTGTCGTGCATGTCACTACGCCAAAGATGGAATTCTCCATTCTTTAAAAGTTTGTAAATTTCAGAATTTGTAATTTTGGTACATTTTAGAATTTCTGAATTAAAGAATTTTTAGATTTGTACATATATAAAGAATAGGAGTAGTTATATTTATCATTCATAAATCAACAATTTATTAATTCATAATTAACAAATATATTTCTGAAATAGTTTATCAATTTATTCCTGAGAAGTTACATCATCTATGTACTATCATAAAAAGAGACAAATAAATTAAGCACTCAATTTTAATAATTAAGTAAGTAATTTGTTGTTTGATATTAATTTAAAAATATAAGAATTAATCAATGACTTCTAGTCCTTCGTAATTGGCGGTACAGAGCATGCGCAGGAACACAACCAATAAAATTTAGGCATCGGCTATTAGGCCCTCCTCTCATGTCGGCTTCCCTCTCCTTGTCTATTATCCAAACTCACACGCCGTCTCTATATTCCTAAGTTCATGATTTTACGTAATATTACTCTAGAAAATCCGTCGTAATTCTACGAATAACTGACAATTTCACTTCGAAGTCGAGCAACGTGTCTTCGCGTTAAACCGTGGACGTCCATGCGTTAATATTCAATAAGCTTGCACAAAATATTGAAATTGCTATCGAAAATTAAGTATCGATGATATTGAACGATTCGTAAAGTGACGATAAATCACCGTATATTTATTTATACCATACACATGCCTTAACGACTTAATAATTCATGTATAACCTTTTTCACATATGTATAAATAGAATATTATTTTATTAATTTTCCATGAACGTTTCGTCGAAAAGAATCGAATGCTTTTAACAGTATAATTTATATAATAAATTTATTTTACAAATATTTTATCAAAAATAATTAAAACATTAATCTGAACTCAGATTAAACCGATAAAATCTCCGTTACATAAAAATAACAAGTGTACAATTTCAAGGTTGGAATAAATATATGATACATGCGTACAGAATTAATTATTCGTCGTGAAATCGTGATATCTGAGCTCGATACTCAAGTGACCCGCCCCTGCAGGTGTAGAATCCGTGAAGGGTTGAGATCAATATGCGCTCATTGATTGTACCGTCGCTGCGCTGTGTCAACCTCATTGAGTTTGTCTTCTTCTGAACGTTAAACACTGAGCATGTATCTATCTACTTATTTTACCTGCTTGGTTGCGTTCAACCTTTCAATAACTTCTACGCAACTAAGTTATGGGACTAGGATATAGGCGTTGTACGATGCCACGTAATGTCCTCCTTGTCGAACTCAGCCTCCCGTTTATAAAGCTCGTGATATGCAGTCAAGACTCAATAAACATAAAACTACCTGTTCCACCAATTTCCTGCGTTATATGTAAGTTTCATCTTACGATTTTACAAACCTAAAATTGATCAAAGAATTTTCTTCCATTTTTTTTTCTACGATTGGAGATGTTTGTTTTATACGCGCTATTTAGGGGTGTATGGCCTATCGAACTTTCGAGATCATGTTAGGACGGAAAACTTCGGAACCGATCGGATAAGGTCGGACGAGATCCCGATATGACTCGGAATCCCGAAAGTTTCGAGATTTTGGGTTTGATTAAAAAATTTTTAATTACCATTGGCAATTGAACGATCAATTTATAATTGGTAATTTAAATTACACCGTAACTGTTCTAATAGGAAATTAAAATAAAAATTTCAAAGTACTGCTTCGAAAAATAAAATTTTATTCTGTGTAAACGATAGAATTATCACAACACTTAAGTACCTTAATTAATATTTTGTAGTATACTTGTAGATGTATTACAACTTGCTTACGTGTGATTAGATTAGAAATAACTTGTACAATGACAGAAAAATTGATTAGGTACAATTAAATTACACCTTGTTCAGATGTATATAAATATATGATACATAATTGTTATTGCACGTAATGTATCAAAGACGGGACAAAATTTTGTACAAAACAGTTTAATCAAAACGATATCAGACTGTGTGAAATTTTTCATTACTTCTAAAATGTGTTTCTGTATTCTGTTATGGATTTTAACTGTTGAATTCATTTCACAAGAATATGAGATCTTCTTGTACAATATAAGAAATTAGGGAAGTGAGATAATCAGAATCACAATTTACGCGTATCGATTATACATGTATTGTAAGTATACATTACACGACCAATCAAATTACTAGTTATAAATAAACATGGCTGTCTTTCTTTAGTCCGTTTTCGTCCTCTGCGCAGTGTCAAGAGCACGTTAATACACCATATGCTCACGTACAAATTACAATTCCTTATTATGCTCATTCAGATAATATAACGTTAATTGTCGTGAAATAAATTTGAACGTAACGATACAAAAATAAAGTATTGCTATATAATTATATAGTAAAAATAACTGCAATTATGTGCAAAGATATGATAATGATAATTTGATTTCCAAACTACAAAAATTGTACATTGAAAACATTTATTATGGAAAAAATATATGTATATATTTATCATTGTATATGTAGCATACATAAATTCATGTAAAAAATATTTGTATAGTATTGTAATAAACAATCCATTTATATTATGTTGAGCAGCAACTGCTTATATTTCAAAATACTGTAAATGAATACATAGAACAAATTTCATTTGTTTAAATATAACTATCATGTAAAGTATAAGAAATGTAAGGGAATATACCTGTTACTATAGTACAAATTCATATTTTATAAATTCACAGTTACTGCTTTCATGATAAAATTATTTTAACACTGGGTTATTACAATTTTGTTTACTGTAATAAAATATTTTGTAAACAGACGTATTAAAGAATATGATTATTAAATTTATAAATAAATCATATAAAACATTTAAGAATTCTTAAAGTTATCAAACAAATGACGACGCTTAATACCTAAATATTTACAATAATATGAATTGTATAGATGCAATTTTTCACACAATAAAGAAAATTCAATTAAATTCATAATAAAATGTAACAAACTAAAATTTTTAAATATTTACACGTAATTCTTAAACAAAGGACACGATATTAAAAACAAATCATTACATATGTACATGTGCACTAGAAAAGTCCATTTCACTTAATCACAAGCTACTGAACTTGTAGAATAATGCAATATTACATAATGCATAAACAAAAATATCGTATTACATCTATGTTATATTAAACGTTCTCTTTTTAATGAACAAAATTTGTGTTTACTCTTCTGGAAGAGTATTCAAAATAATAAAAAAATATATCTTGAATTCTTACAAAAGTTAAGGAACTATATGGATGTAATGTACGGTAGATTCTTTTCCATACCTATGTTTCACGTACGATCAATTTTATATTAAAAATATTTGTTCAAAATATAAAATTATATACGCGTTTCTTTTAATTCGATCTCTTTGGGATCGCTTATTTATAGCTACCTATTTCTGCGTAATATCTTTTATTATTTATTCATAATAACCGGCGATTGTATCGTGTCAACACATGCCGCAATATATTTCTTACGATTTCGTATGTATTGCGATGGTGCTGTTCTTATTTGAATATGATAAACTGTTTTTGCACTTTCTTTCGGGCCATTGATACAAATATTCTGCTTTTTTGGTTCGGTAGGTTTTCCAAATTGTGTAAAACTTTTTCTTTTGAGAAAGTTATCTTGTTTTAACGGAGCTACCGATGAACGAGTTTTGCGAGGTTGATAGTCCGGCGTTGCTTGCATCTTCTCCAAAGCAGTGCGTAGAGGAAGTAACCCAACGGCGAACGGAATTTCTGTGTTTGGTGTAAATTCCACTAAATTCATTCGATTTTCACAGTCTTCGGAAATATCCGACATATCGCCCCAAAGCGCTCGGTTTATGTGTTCTATTGTATTTAATTTAGGTAATGTAAAAATAGAATTCACTTCCGCCGCTTCTGATATGTCACATTTCAATCTGTTCGGTATTTTAACCGTTTGCTGATTCTTTTCTTTGCTAGATATAGTACAAGTAGGTTTATTGCTTTTTTTTACAATTAATTTTGTAGAATTTTTACGCGAATTCAAAACCTTTTTAGCGGACTGTATTAAATTGTTACCGCTTTGTTCTGGAACTTTGCGATCTATATCTTTCACCTTACGCTTCTTTTTCATACATAATTCTGCGCTGTTGGAAGAGTTAAATTTTTTAATTTGTTTTTCTCTTCCATTCGAATCTTTGTTAAGTTCATTATTGCTCACAGTTTCTTCTATTTCCTGCTGATTTAATCGCAAACTTCTTCGTAATATCGGTTTGCTACATAGTGAATTTTCAGTATTTTCAACATTTAGATCTTTTTTATTAGTATTATCTTTCTGCGAATTGTACTCAATAATTTGTTCGATTTTCTTACCTGTCCTCAACGCATGTTGTTCGGTTAAAGTAGCTCCCACTATAGACTGAATGTTTTCAGTATTTAAGCTTATAATATACTCAGCACTTTCCATATCTAATGAGGTTAAAAGTGTAACTGGTATATCATTAGTGGACGGTTCATCTAATAAGTCTATACAATCAGTGGATGATGGACTTTGAATTATGTTATTTACATCTGTAAATTTAGTTTTTATTTCATCTATGGATTTACGTCTTTTATGAGTGTATACTTTAACGCATTTTCCTATTTTACTAGGAACATCGGTAGCTTCAAACTTATATTGTGCAAAGTCTTTTTCAATTTGCTGGAGGCAAGATTGTGATAGTGACATAGAATTTTCTTCACAGTCATCAATATCTGAAAGATCACAGCATTGTTCATATAATATAGGTTTTAAAGTATCATTTGTACACAATGTATTACTATTTATCATTCTATCTTCAGAGTACCCACTTGATGTTTCTTTGTTATTACAATTTATAAATAAAGTTGAATTTCTATTTTCTGCTAGTTTAGAGTTTGCTACTGAAAATAATTTAGTTTGTTCTACATTACTTTCAAAATCTTGTGATTCATCATACAACATATGCTCTAATTCTTGTTCAGGAGGATCAGTGATGACACTACTTTCCAAAGGTGAATTTTCACTTATATTCACATCACTACTGCTCTCATTAGAAAGTAAAAAGCACTCATTTTTCTCTAGATCATTGCACTTCACGTGTGAATAATCTGGACTGTTGCATTTATTTTTTGTAATTTTTGATTCACTAACTTTCTTATCTATATGTACATCAGTTCTAAAATTTTCTATACCAGAAGTCATCATGGCATCGACCACGCTCGTTAATTCTTTTACCTGCATATAGAAAAGCAAAACTAGGTTATTAATATTACAGTAGCACATTATGACATTAGCAAAACTTTTGTTTTATACCAACCTTAAAAGTCTTAGTGGCAGTTAATAAAGATGACAGCAACTGATAAGGAACAGTAGTTTCTCCACAATACATAAATTCGACCATGGCCTTCAAGATCTCAAAGTTTAGGTCTTTCAAAAATATAATGGGTTCCTGACTCAAATCCTTCTGCAAAATCTCCTGTTGCATCAGAAAGTGAAATAAACAGAATGGATTAGTAGATAAAATTTTAGAACTTAAAGTAAAAGCAATGAATGATGTATTATCTTTATTTTCTATTAGTTTCACGTTTCTGATACATTTATAATTTGATGAAGTTTGATATTATATGCAAAGTACACTTTTAATAGTGTTAAATATTGGTACAGGAAATATTTAAAGAAATTTTTAGCTACATAATTTATAATTGTATTGTTCAAATACAATTTTATGTAAATTTCTACATGCACATGTTTTTGGGTATATTGATATTTACTAAACAAAAATAAAAATATCAGATACACTACTAAGAAAAACATTTACACCAGCGTGTATTTATTTCGCTATTTTGTGTTTATACGAATCATTTCATTAATACCTTTACACTGAATAGATGTTCTTCACAAGTTGTAAAAAGTATGTCCATCAAACATGGTTTCTTCAAATGCTTGCAAATAAACAAGGAAATTCCAATATATAAGGCTTTGTTTACTTTATATGAATTTTACATAATTCCTGTAAAATTGTTCCTTTATAAGTATTTCATAAATATTTCTATCATTACTTTACATTGTATGAACTAATAGAAGAGATAAAGGAGATTCAAAGTTTCAAGTAATTTATATTTGATAGTAATTCATTATTGTATATTGTTACATATAAAAAACTATATGCTAAAGGTACTGTTACAGAAAGTATTTTCACTATTGTATGTGCTCATCAAAAAATTACTGGTTAATATTATATTATAATCTTTTCATTGATAATGATACAAGCTTAATAAATTTGAAGGTGACAATCAAAAAATAGTTAAGTCCACAATCAATATCTATTATCAGATAACATAAATCCACAAATCACGAAAGATAAATTATTATTCTATTATTAAATATATACTTTAAATAAAATATGTTCGATCGTTATTGACACAGAATTCAGTCAGTATCAACTGATTTTGTAATTACTTTTTTTCACTAGTGGTTACATAAGACAATGACCGTTCAATAATATTAAGTTATTTCTAAATTTCTTTAAAATAAAACAATTAAGGAATTATACTATATCTATAATTAGAATAAAAAAAAACGTATACACTAAAAAAATAACATGTAAAGTATTATTACATAACTTGTGCTTTACAGCATAAGTTTAACATTTTACATGCTTCAATATTATAAAATATTTCAAACTATATAAATAAATAATCTTATTTAGTTATTAATTTTAAATTACTTAATTTAACATTAAAATGAATAATGGAAGTTGTAATACTAATTATGCTATAGATGATAACGTATGTAATTGCAACATCTGTAAATCAATTATATGTATAACAAGAAAAGGTTTCAAAGTCTCTCACTTATATTCACGGAAATATCTTTGTTAAACATACCTCAAAGTATGTACTATTCGATGCTAAAACCAGTTTATGAACACGGAGTTTCTGTCCTTCGCAGACGAGGGTAACATCAACAAGTGCTTGGCGTGCCAACAGTTCACTAAACTTTTCTGTAATGAATCTCGCATGACCAGCCCATTGTAGGACACAAATATCAGTACTCTCCACCATTATGTCTGTAAATTAAACAGTAAGAAGGTATTACTGTTAAAGCAACTTCAATGGAACGATGAATGAAATCATTGAAATTCAATAATGAATATTAATCAATAAATTGAAAGTATCTGAAGAAGATATACATACTGAAATACGATTAAAATGTTGGTTTTCCTCTGTCGAGTATAGTTTGAAAAAAAGCACTGAAACCTTTGATCAAATGTACGCAATCAGTTTCGATTAACGATGGATAATGACATAACAAGTTTATGCATTTTCTATCAAGTTTTATAAAACACCACGGGGAATGCTGAGCAACGGCTTTACACAACATTTGTTCACCAATACGTTAGAGTGTGCAAAATAAGATGTAAACGAAACTCAAAATTCAGCCATCTTATTTAACGATATAGACACTGTCATAGACTAGGAATATATTCTTCGATGAATAGCAATAAGCAATCTCGAACAATCTGGAAAAGGTGCATGTGCTGCCACCATACGTATACACGTATGTAACCTAATATCATAGAATCGTTAGGGCTAATATAAAATAATGAGTCAAAACATTCCAAAGTTCATTAGTCTTGCATTCTGATATAATTTGATGCATATTATAATAAATTAAACCTATAAAATCAGTATAAATTGAATTTAAAATAAAAAGGCACATGTGGCGCCATCTCTCCTGCGAACAGGGTGAACTACACGTATCTGGAGCAGGCGCTTCGTTAGTTCCACTTTCCTCCACAAGAGGGCAGCGATTTTAGCGCCGCCTGGTGGCGAAAAATGGAACTAACGAAGGACCTCCTCCAGATACGTGTAGTTCACCCCGTTCGCCGGAGAGATGGCGCCAC